CGGCTGATTTTTTGATTTATTGTAGAGATGAGGTCTCGCTGCCCAGGCGGGTCTCGAACCTGCGGGCTCGGGCAATCCACTCACCTCAGCCTCCCAAAGGTGCGGGATTACAGGCTGAGCCACTGAGCCCGGCTACAACGAAGCATTCTAACTTGATTTTATTACTGTTATTGAGATCCAACAATCCTAGCTTAATGATAAAAACTAGACAAGTAATAAAATTAATCCAACATATTTTACTTTTGATAAACACACACACACACACACACAGACATCTGCATATGTATACAAAATAATATATATATATATATATATATTTTGAGTTGGAGTCTCACTCTGTGAACCAGACTGGAATGCAGTGGCCGCTCCCGGCCACCACAGCCTCGACCTGCTGGGCTCAGGCGATCCATCCGCCTCAGCCTTCCGAGTAGCTGGAACTATAGGCACGCACTATCATGCGGCTAATTTTTTGATTTATTGTAGAGATGAGGTCGCACCAAGTTGCCCAGGTTAGTCTCGAACCCGTGGGCTCAGGCAATTCACTCACCTTAACCTCCAGAAACTAATATTTTAATGCCAACATCTGATTGCCTCCTTTGTTTTAAATTGATATCTAGGATGCTATCGAATAGGAATTGTAAGGAATTATATGAAAATATTAAGTACTAAATACAATTTTTTTTTTCTAGAGATGAGGTCTTGTTATGTTGCTCAGGTTGGTTTTGAACTCCTGGACTCAAGTGATCCTCCTGCCTTGGCCTCCCAAACTGCTGAGATTATAGGCATGAGTCTCCACACCCAGATGACTACTAAACATTTTTAAACAATCAGAATTAAATGTAGTAAAATATAAACTATGAACTTTGGGAGACGTATCAGACTACTAGATTCATCTATATCACAAGTTTACAATTAAACAAATACATAAAGAAGCATTCTTCTCTAGAGAGTAATTTAATATTAAAATCAGGCACTAAATTCTCATTTAAGGTTCATACAATTATAAGGCAGAAAAAAACAATGTTTCTATAAATTCAAGATGAATCACCAGAGCAATTTATTTTGGTAACAATTTGTCATGGCTAAAAATTAGTCACAAAGATCATATAATTTGACAGACAAAAAGACTTCTTCAACATAATAAATATCCTTTTTTTATATACTGTACATGTACTATTTTGAAATAAAATAGCATTCCATATGCATCTGTTTGAAAAATCTGCTTAAATACAATTATTTTTTCTTAAAACATTCAAAAGGTTAATGTAAAGATAAAATACAAACAGCTCATTAAAATGGAAAAAACCTGATTTGATAATTGCAGTTTCTAAATCAGTCGTTCTCACTCTTAAAAGTTTGTAAAAATCACTCATGCTGCTTGTTCAAAATGCAGATTCCCAAGGTTCTACATGCAAGAATTCTTAGCATATCTGGAATGGGTTCCAGGAACCTCCATTTAAAACAAGTTCTCCACTAGCTGAATTATTTTGCACAGCAGCTGCATCATTTTACATTCTCACTAGCAACATATTAGGTTTATACATTTTCTGCATCCTTGCTAATATTTGTTATTATCTTTTTATATTGTTGCCATTCTAGTGAGTGTGAAGTAATGTCCTATAATTTTGATTTGCGTTTCTCAATGGAAAATGATGTTGAATATCTTTTCATGTGCTTATTGGCCATTAATGTGTCTTTTTTGGAGAAACATCTCTTCAAATTGTTTGATCATTTACAAAAATAAAAATAAAACAAGTTCTCCAGATGCTTTTGATATAGCTTGTCCATGGATTAAACTGTGAGCTATCCTGACCTAGAAAAGCACTGTTCTAACATTAATGTAAAAACAAATTCTCTGGAGACGTTGTTAAATGTGTATTCTGACTCAACTGGATTAGTATAGACCTGGGATTCTGTTTTACTAACAAATTTTCAGGTGATGTAAATTATACTGATTCAAGAATCACACTTTGAGAAGCAAGTGCCTAATCTACAACATAAGATATCTTTCAAATAATAAGACTAGATTACTAGGGAAAGAAAAGCAGGGGATAGCCGGGCTCGGTGGCTCAGTCTGTAATCCCGTGCCTTTGGGAGGCTGAGGTGAGTGAATTGCCCGAGTCCGTAGGTTCGAGACCCGCCTGGGCAGCGAGACCTCATCCTACAATAAATCAAAAAATCAGCCGGGCGTGGTAACGCATGCCTATAATTCTGGGTACTTGAAAGGCTGAGGCAGAAGGATCGCCGGAGCCCAGCAGGTTGAGGTTGCGGTGGCCAGTCTGGGCGACAGAGTGAGACTCCAACTCAAAAAAAAAGAAAAGAAAAGAAAAGAAAAGAAAAGCAGGGGATGACAGAATTAGGACCACCATAAATTTATTCCTCTTTGTAAGCAATAAATACACTGGTAAAAGCTGTCAAAATTAACTATTTCAGAACCCTGGAAATTAAAGAGAGGCTTAGAACAATCAGAGTAGTGTTTATACAAGAAAACTGCCAAACTTTGGTAAGAATAATGGAGTCTTTGGCATTGCAACTTGTGTGTTACAACTTCCATCTTCCTCCTGAAAGAAAGTTCTGCAGTAGCCTTACAAACTGGCAGTCTTGAACTAAAGTAGTTGTAAAAACTTGCAGAAAGCTCAAAAGGGAACAAACTCTGATTGGACCTCTTCAAAAGTGTCCCATCCTGAGCATTGTTATTATTTAGCCTGTCTTGCAGCTTCTTGGAAAACCTCGATTTGCAAGATAATATCCTTATTTGACCTGAATTAAGGGGAAATACCTACCATCCCACAATGTTTGTTGAAAATAATCAGCAACAGTTGTGAGTGAGGTTGCTATACAAGAGCCTGACAAGACATAAAAGAAACATCTTTGGAACTAGATACCCATGTGTGGAATTAAACTAACTTGCTAGATCACCAGAATATGTCAAAGATCTTTAGCCCCGCATATGAGATACAACAATGTGTCACCAAATAAAGAATGTCATTTAAAGAAATTGAAATTATGCAAAATAACCAATTATAAATTCTGGACTTGAAAAATACAAAGCAAAAAATTAGCTCAACAGCAGGTTTGAGCTGGCAAAAGAAAGAACCAATGCATTCAAAAATATGTCAATTAATATTTGTTTTGAGGAGCAAAAAGAAAAAATAATGATGAAAAACTAATGGAGCCTCACATGCCTGTGGGACACCTTTATGATTACCAACATAAGTCTAATGGGAATCTCCAAAAGACAAGAGAGTGAGAAAGAGGCTATTAAAAAACACGCAAAACTAAAAGATAACAACTTATAAAATTTGATGAAAAAACATCTATCTACATATCAAATAAGCACATAGGACTCTGCAGGATAGACTCAAAGCAATCCACACACAGACAATAATAGTCAAACTGTTGAAAGGCCAAGATATAGGCAATCTTTTAAACAACAATACAAAATTGACTCGACACCTACAATAGTTCCTTAATCAGATTAACAGCTGACTTCCCATATGAAATGCTAGAGGACAGAAGTCAGTGGTATTATGCATTTAGTACAATGCAACCAAAAGACTATTGATGAAGAATAATATATACAGCAAAACTGTTCTTCAAACATGAAAGAGAAAAGATATTCTCAAATAAACAAAAACTGGAGAGAATTGAGATGACCAATGAGAGGCAGGTAGAATATCTCCTGCAAGGTAAACCAAGATAGAGTTTTCTCAGCACTTAGAGAGGAACAAGAACAGCAGCATGCCCCACGACTCTTCAGAGAAGTGATAATAACCACAGATGGCAAAGAAGAGAAAAATCCATCGACCTGGACTGGAACTAGCCAAACTCTACCCTGCATTATTATAATCCATTGGAAGCTTCTGGACACAGTGGGGAAAATAAGTGAGGGGAATTCAGGTGTTTTGTGCTCCTGCTGTGGACTTGGAGGTTCCCTTGGGTCTTGTGGAACTGCAGTCCTTCTTGAGAAACTGACTGACTTACAACTGTG